CCTCGAGTTATGAAAAAATCCCGACGGGTGGTTTTTTGTTATTTCTGGCCTCTGGGGGCCCTTACCGGCCCTCGGGACCGTCAAAAAACGACTCAGGACGAAGAACCGGTCCCGGGGAAAGGGTCCAGACCGCTGGGGGTCGACGTCATGAAAAATTCATGACGTCGGGGGTCTGGGGTAAGAGTGACCTTTCGCCGGAGTGACCTTTGGTGCGGGCCCCATGGGGCCCCCCGATCGCCGAACGCGATGCGGTAGTCGCGTCTCGCGCGCTCGCTTTTGGTCCCCCCCCCGCGGCCCCCCAAAGAGCCGCGCACCAAAGGTCACCCTTACCCAGGGTCACTCTTGCGTGTAGTCGAGGAGAAACACGTGCGACCCCCGAGATCCGACGCATTGAAAAAATCAAGACGGAGGTTTTTCGCCAGTTTCGGCCCCTGGGGGCCCTCGCCGGGCCTCGGGGCCGTCAGAAAAGGGCTCAGTCTGAGAAGCCGGTCCCGGGGAAGGGATCGAGACTTCTGGGGACCCCGTATGGAAAAATCACGACGTCGGATCCCTGGGGAGAAAAACTTGCGACGGTCCACGCTTGGCGCTGGCCCCCCCCCCTGATCGCCGAACGCGATGCGGTAGTCGCGTCTCGCGCGCTCGCTTTTGGTCCCCCCCCCGCGGCCCCCCAAAGAGCCGCGCACCAAAGGTCACCCTTACCCAGGGTCACTCTTGCGTGTAGTCGAGGAGAAACACGTGCGACCCCCGAGATCCGACGCATTGAAAAAATCAAGACGGAGGTTTTTCGCCAGTTTCGGCCCCTGGGGGCCCTCGCCGGGCCTCGGGGCCGTCAGAAAAGGGCTCAGTCTGAGAAGCCGGTCCCGGGGAAGGGATCGAGACTTCTGGGGACCCCGTATGGAAAAATCACGACGTCGGATCCCTGGGGAGAAAAACTTGCGACGGTCCACGCTTGGCGCTGGCCCCCCCCCCTGGGCGGCGCCTCTGGCGCCGCCTCTGGCGCGCTCCGCGCGCCGGGGGAGGGGGGACCCGCGCCGATCCGAGAAGTCCCTGCGGACCTCCGAAGGTGTCTGTTTGTGCCGTGTCGTGCTGTCTCTCCAGCCCCCCGCCTCCTCCGCCTCCTCCTCCTCCTCCTCCTCCTCCTCCTCCTCCTCCTCCTCCTCCTCCTTGCCGCAGCGTGCTTGTGCCATTCTCTCGTTGCTCCTGCGGAGGGCGCCACCTCTGTGCGCACGGCACCGAGCCTGGCCGGGCCGGGCCCGGGTGCGGGATCGGTGCGCTGCGTGTACCCCGAGACTCGGGCGCAGAACTTCTTCACCCTGGGCGTTTGCGCCATCGCACATCGATGTGGCTCGATCTCCGCGAGGGCCCTGGGGCCCGCAACGAGGCAAACTTGATCTTGAGGCAATCGTCGAAGTCGCAGCCAGTCGCGACCTTAGCCCGAGACCCCACCTTCTCTGCGCCATCCGTAGGTCCGGCCCGAGCCGCGAGGGCCCTGGGGTCCGAGTCGCGCTCACATCGCCCCTCTGGGAGAACAAAAAATGGCAGCATCGCGAGCAAGAATCGCGAACAAGAATCGCCCTGCTGGGAGAAACAGAAATGGCAGCCTCGCGAGCAAGAATCGCGAACAAGAATCGCCCTGCTGGGAGAAACAAAAAAATGACAGCATCGCGAACAAGAATCGCGAACTTCTGGGAGAAACAAAAATGGCAGCCTCGCGAGCAAGAACCGCGGCACGGGCCCTGGGCTTCGCCCTGAGAGCTCTTCTCTGCGCCGCGTGCCGATCCGGCTCGGACCGTGCAGGCCCTGGGGCCCCAGAGCGAAGCAGAGTCGCCTGCGGTGAAAATCCGGAGGAGAAAAAGCACACACACACAGACACACACACACACACAGACACAATTACTCGTCGATTCCCTGGGAAATATGGGAAGATATGGGCAGTGTGGGGGGGAGAAACCAGAAGCCCCGAAAAGATGGACAATATGGGGGAATCGTTCTATATATATATA